AGGCACCCCTAGGATCAGCTGAGGCCTCAGTTGCTGACATAGAGAAGATAATTTTCTCCCTCCACCCTGCCTTTTTCATTTCCTTGCAGGTAGGGACACAGATGCAAGACAATACTCTCGGTTAAATTTGAATTCTAGGTAAACAATTCATAATTTTTTATATAAGTATGTCCCAAATATTGCATAGGTATCCCATATGTTTATTTGCTAGGTCTGGCACTACTATGTACCATCGTAACTTTGAAGATCACTCCCTGTGAACCAACTGTGTGCTACTCTCAGCCTCAGAGTGTTGCTGGGGAATCCATTCTCTGGGAAAAGGTATTGTGGTCAGGGAGCACAAGGGAGGGCCTGGGCTGCCAAAGAAAAGTGTGAGGGGAATAAGAAGAGGATCCTCTTTCTACAGTCAGAGATGAGGGCATATTTCAACATTCTCATGGGCATAAAGAAGTTTATACTCATAAGCAAGGCAAAATTCAAAAGTTTCAGTGGTTATACAAAGCCTAAAATATTCTTTATCCAAAGCGTGATCTTGAGGCCTTAATTCTTTGTTCAGCCTCCCAAAACCTTAGCTGTATGTGTTTGTACATATAATACTAAGGCACACAGACTGTCTTTTCCTAAATTATGCAAGGCATGTGATCAATTTGGGACTTATTACTGATATTTCTTAAAGTCTCTCAAAAAGTTGATCACCCTTTCTTCATAAAACACATTTTTTACGTGTTTTACAAATTGCCACATGCACCTGGCCTTTCTACTACCTCAGCAGCTATTTCTTCCTGTCTCTTTGGCTAGCTCCTCTTTTACCTGACCTGTAAACCTTGCGGGACCCCAGGGCTCAGTTTTTGCCTCTTTTGTATTCTCTCTGTAAACTTACTTCCCATGTGATTTCACCTCTGCCTTACATACCAGATACATGCTGATGACTTCCACATTTAAATCTGCAGCCTCAACCTCTCCCAGAATTCCCCGTTCACGTAGCCAACTGCCTGTTGTAGCAATTCTGTATTGCTACAGGATATCTAACAGGCATCTGAAGCCTGACATGTTCACAACTCAACTCTTGTTCCCAAACCAGTTAAGCCTCCAGACTTCTACAGTTTAATAAACAGCACAATGATTTATTCAGTGACTCGAGCCAAAAATCTAGGAATCATCCTTGTGCCTTTCCTTTCTCTCATAACCCTCATCCAGTACACCAGCAACTCCTTTTGGCTAAACCTTTCAACAAATTCTGAGTTCTGTCACCTTTCTCTGTCTCTACTCCCTACCTCATCTTTACTTGATCTGTTGCTGTAGCTTCTCAACTGGTCTCTCTTCTTCTCACTACAGTGGATTTGACAGAGAAGTCAAAGTGAAATTTTAAAAACAGAAATCATGTCTTTTTCCTGCTCCGAACTCTTCAGTGGCTTCCCAGCCCACTAAGATGGATCTAGTCCTTTCCTCGCTCTCTTGTTCCATCCCCTAGTCTCTTCCACCTCACTAACTCTGCTTTAACCCAATGCCTGGAATGCCTTTCTCCCAGTTGTTCAGCTATTATACTCTTTCCCTCCTCAGAGATGCCTTCCCTGATGACTGTTTGAAGTGTCTTCCCTCACTTACTCCATCTCATCGCTCTTTTTATTTTTGTTAGTGCATTTTTCATGCTCCTTGATTATCTTGTATACTTTGGTGTTTACTGATTTCCTCAGGGTTATGTAAGTAGTCTGTTTCCCCCCATTAGGATGTAAACACCTTGTGTAAAGACACTTGGCTTGGCTTCTTCACTGCAGGATTTCTGGTGCCTGGTGTGAACCTGTCACAAAGGAGGTACTCGATATTTATTTATTTATTGGAATGACAATATTCCGTATTCTAGAAAAGGCTCGAGGGTTGAAAGTAAGTGAACTATACAATTAGCCAGAATGATTAGTCAAACTTTAATTCTAATAAGCTCTCCAACTGGAATGCGAAGTTTATCTGAAAATGCAATTCATTTTCTGGCCAAGCATGAAAAACCTCACAGTGATTTACCGATTTTTAAGTAAGGTAAATTTTGTAGAAGGATTAGGAAAGCCTTAAACCCTAATATGGTATCACCATGTTTGCAAGCTCCCCTAGACAATTTATCTGTGCCCTTGCTGGATGTGGTCAAGAGTCTAAGGATCTGCCTTATGATCAACAGTTAAGAGTTGAACACAAAATAGCATATAATATTAATAAATACCTGTAAGGCCTAAAACTGAGACATTCACGAACAAATATGCAAATACATAACTACTCTTTGATTATTTTTAGGATAATCCACCAAAAGTAATGTGAATATCATACTTTTCTTTTTTTCCAATATTAAAAAAATTTTAATTGACACATAATTGTACGTATTAATGGGATACAATTTGATATTTCAATACACATATATAATGATCAAATTAGGGCAGCTAGCATTTCCATCATCTCATGTATTTATTTTTTTTTTGTGGTGAGAACATTCACAAGCCTCTCTTCTAGATATTTTGTATTATACAATACATTATTGTTAAGCATAGTCACCCTATTGTGCAACAGAACACTAGAACTTATTCCTTCTATCTAATTGCAACTTTGTACCTGTTGACCTACCTCTCCCATGATTCTTTCCTCCCTCCCCTCCCCACTCAGTCTCTGGTAATTACTGTTCCACTTCCTGCTTCTACAATATCAACTTTCCTATTTGTTTTTGGGTTTGACTTTTTCACATAAAATTATATCCTCCAGGTTCATCCATGTTGTCCAAACGACAGGGTTTCATTTTCTTTTATGGCTGACAACTATTTCATTGTGTATATTTACCACATTTTCTTTACGTGTTTATTCATTGTTGGACACTAATTTGATTCCATATCTTAGCTATTGTAAATAGTGCTGCAATAAACATGGGAGTGCAGATACGTTTTCAACACGTGTATTTCTGTTGGCTACATCCCTAGTAGGGGGATTGCTGGATAATAGGGTAGTTTTTAATATTTCGAAGAAATTTCCTACTGTGTTTCATAATTGCTATACTAATTTATATATAATCCCAAAAACCATGTGTAAGTGTTCCCTTTTCTCCACATCCTTGCCAATAGTTTTCTTTTGTCTTTTTTGATAATGGCCATTCTAACTAGAATGAAGTGGCATTTTGTTGTGGTTTTCATTTGTATTTAGCATAAACGATTAATGACATTCAGCATTTTTTTCATATACCTGTTGGTCATTTGTCTTCAAAGTCTACTGAGGTCGTCTGCCCACTTTTAAATTGGACGATGATGATGATGATGATGATGATGATGATGATTTGCCGTTGTTTGAGTTTCCTTTATATACCGGGTATGAGCTCCATGTCACATGTATAGTTTACAAATATTTTCTCCTATCCTGTAGGTTTTATTTTCACTCTTGTTTCATTCGCTGTATGAAAGCTTTTTCATTTGATGTAACCCCGTTTTTCTATTTTTGCTTTTGCTGCCTGTGCTTTGAGGTCTTACTTAAAAAAGTTTTGCCCAGTCCAATGTTGTCAAGTGTTTCTCCCAGAAAAATTATGCTGTGAAGCATTTCTTCCAGTAGTTTTAATAGGTGACAAAGTGCTAGCAGCCCTCACTCTCAGCGCCTCCTCGGCCTCAGCGTCCACTCTGGCGGTGCTTGAGGTGCCCTTCAGCCTGCCGAGGAACCGTGGGATCCCCTCTCTGGGCTGGCTGAGGCTGCAGCTCCCTCTCTCTGCTTGCCAGGTGGTGTGGAGGGGCAGGCGCGGGCGGGATCCGGGGCTGCCCGCTGTGTTCGCCTGCCGGTGTGAGTTCTGGCAGGCGCGGGCTCGGTGGGCCCCGCACATGCAGTGGCCGGCTGGCACCGCCGGCCCAGGGAGTGAGGGGCTTAGTACATGGGCCAGCAGCTGCGGAGGTTGTGCCCAGTCCCCCAGCAGTGCCTGGCCGGCCGGCGCGGCACTCAAAGTCTGGCCAGGCCCTAGCTGCCTCTCTGCGGGGCAGGGCTCTGGGACCTGCAGCCTGCCCTGTTTGAGCTCCGCCCCCTGCGGTGGGCTCCCCCGCGGCCTGAGCCTCCCGCCACAGGCGCAGGCCCCTGCTCGCTGGCACCTCATCTCATCAACAGCCCAAGGGCTGAAGAGTGCAGGTGCCACTCGGGACTGGCAGGCAGCTCCGCCTGCAGCCCTGGTGCAGGATCCACTGGGTGAAGCCCTGAACTGGATGGGGTCTTGGAGAACTTTTATATCTAGCCAGAGGATCCTATGTGCACCAGTCAGCATGCTGTGTCTAGCTCAGGGTTTGTGAATACACCAATTGGTACTCTGTATCTAGCTAATCTAGTGGAGACTTGGAGGACTAGCACTCTGACTCTGTCTAGGTCAAGGATTGTAAATGCACCAATCAGCACTCAGTGTCTAGCTCAAGGTTTGTAAATACACCAATCAGTACTCTGTGTCTAGCTCAAGGTTTGTAAAGGTACCAATTGGTACTCTGTATCTAGCTAACTCTGTATCTAGCTAACTAAGCTTTGTGACTCTGTGTCTAGCTCAAGGATTGTAAATGTACCAATCAGCACTCTGTCAAAACGAACCAATCAGCTCTCTGTAAAGCAGACCAATCAGTGCTCTGTAAAGTGGACCAATCAACTCTCTGTAAAATGGACCAATCAGCAAGATTGGGTGGGGCCAGATAAGGGAATAAAAGCAGGCTGCCCGAGCCAGCCGGCTGCAACCAGGTGGGCTCCACTTTTATAGGGGGTTTTGTTGGTCACTCGGTTCATGCTGTCTTTATGAGGTGTAAGGCTCACCAGGGAAGTGTGCAGCTTCACTCTTGAAGCAAGTGAGACCATAAACCCACTGAGAAGAACGAATAACTCCAGAGGCACAGTTTTTAAGAGCTGTAACACTCGGCAGGGTGCGGTGGCTCACGTCTGTAATCCCAGCAGTTTGGGAGGCCAAGACGGGTGGATCATGAGGTCAGGAGAGCCAGACCATCCTGGCTAACATGGTGAAACCCCATCTCTACTAAAAATACAAAAAAGGAGCTGGGTCTTGTGGCGGGCACCTGTAGTGCCAGCTACACGGGAGGCTGAGGCAGGAGAATGGCGTGAACCTGGGAGGGGGAGCTTGCAATGAGTGGAGGTGGTACCACTGCACGCCAACCTGGGTGACAGAGTGAGACTCCGTCTAAAAAAAAAAAAAAAAAAATAGAGCTGTAACACTTACTACGAAGGTCTGCAACTTCACTCCTGACTGCAAGACCACAAACCCGCCAGAAGGAAGAAGCTCCAGACACATCTGAACGTTTGAAGGAACAAACTCCGGACACCCCATCTTTAACAACTGTAACAGTCACCACGAGTGTCTGTCGCTTCATTCTTGAAATCAGTGAGACCAAGAACCCACCAAGTCCTGACACAGTTTTATAGTTTCAGGTAGTATTTATTGATTGATTGAGTACTCAGTTTTACTACAACAGTTGTTTCGAAAATCCTAATTTGGTCCAACTCCATTGATTGATTAGGAAACAATTTGAGCGTAAATGTAAATTTTGTGTTGACGCATACGCAATTTCATCTGTGAGAAACACTAGATATTTCAGCTGAACTGAGCTATGTGGGAATACATAATATATACATCCATATCATGAGCTCAGTGAGCCATACCTATTCATATCTGTCATTACAATTTTCCATCAGATATCCCTCCTTCGAACCTGTTGTGGACTAAATTGTTTCCCCCAAAAATTCATATGTTGAAGTTCTTACCGTTAATATAACTGTATTTGGAGATGGGAGCTTTAAGGAGATAATTAAGGTTAAATGAAATCAGAAGGATGAGATACTGATCAGTTAGGACTGGTCCTTAAATCAAAGGAAGAGACACTGGAGGTCTCTTTTCCCTCATGCACAGAAAAACAGCAAGTGAGGACAAAGCAACAAGGCAACCCTCTGTAAGCTGGCAAAAGAGCCCTCAACAGGAACTGAATCTGTTGTCACTTTGATCTGGGACTTTCAGCTTCCAGAACTGAAAAAATAAATTTGTTGTTTAACCCACCTAGTCTGTGGTATTTTGTTATGGCAGCCTGGGAAGGCTAATACAAACCACTTGACTATACCTCACAAGCCGCAACCCTTTCTATTGCTACCCTAGCCATGCAGCCCAGCATGCATCCTATTGATGTCCCTCTCTATGCTTTTTTGAATTTTTTCTCTTTTATCTTTTCTTTTTCTCTCTTTATCTTTCTTTTGTGATAGCTTTTTTTGCTCAGTTTATTTCTTCTCTTCTTGTTTTACACAGAATACACTAGAAATTTAAGTACAGGCAAACTTCAGACCATTTTAAAGGTAAGATGCCCTATTTATTTGTATATTTCTTAAACTTTTAACATGTTTAAAACTATGTGTACTTTTTATTGGGCTCTTACCCTTTTTTCCATGTCTCTGACGAAGGTTTGTTTGTTTTTTGAAATGGAGTCTGACTGCGTTGCCCAGGCTGGAGTGCAGTGGTGGGATCTCGGCTCACTGCAAGCTCCACCTCCCAGATTCATGCCATTCTCCTGACTCAGCCTCCTGAGGAGCTGGGGCTACAGGCGCCCGCCACCATGCCCGGTTAATTTTTTGTATTTTTAGTAAAGACAGTGTTTCACCATTTCAGCGAGAATGGTCTTGATCTTCTGATCTCTCGATCTGCCCACCTTGGCCTCCCAAAGTGCTGGGATTATAGGCGTGAGCCACCGCGCCCGGCCAGTTTTGTCTTTTAATTTTATTTATTTATTTATTTATTTTTATTTTACTTTAAGTTCCGGGATACACATGCAAAACATGTTTGTTTGTTTACGTAGGCTTGTTACATAGGTATATGTGTGCCATGGTGGTTCGCTGCACCTATCAACCCATCATCTGGGTTTTAAGCCGCACATGCATTAGCTATTTGTCCTACTGCTCTCCCTCCCCTTGCCCCCAATCCCCAACTAGCCCCAGTGTGTGTCGTTCCCCTCCCTGTGTTCCCATTGTTTAATGCCCACTTATGAGTGAGAAAATGTAGTGTTTGGGTTTCTGCTCCTGCATTAGTTTGCTGAGAATGATGACTTTCAGCTTCATCTATTTCCACGCAAAGGACACGATCTCATCCCTTTCTATGGCTGCATAGTATTCCATGGTGTGTTTGTACCACATTTGCTTTATCTAGTATAGTATTGATGGGCATTTGGCTTGGTTCTGCGTTTTGTCTATTGTGAATAGTGCTGCCTCATGAAGTTTTTGAGTATTAATCCCTTAACCCCGTTTTCTTATGAGTCCTGTGGTTTTTATTCCATAATTTTGCATTTTGCAGTGATTTTTTTTGAGAAATATATGTTGAGCTATAACAGAAATGACTGGCTTTTACCCTCACAAAAACTTAGTAAGGCAGAAGAATGTATCCTTATTTTACAGATGAAGCAGAAGATTGAAGCATTAGGTATAAGCCACAATGTGTTCTTTACTGTGCCGAATATACTTTTGTCTTGAATCTTCTGATATTAACTTTTATTTTTTAATGTTAGTAACTAGCTTTCATCTGATCAACTTTTAAAAAATCGTATTTTGTAGTATATTTATCTCGGCACAAGGAAATGAGGACATGGCCTAGATAATTTAGGTCCAAAGTCAACCATTAACCATATAATCTAGATTAAAATTTTAAATAGTATGCTGTTCTTACTGGACTCAATTAACTGAGTTGGCAATTGCTTGATGCATGCTTCATTTTATCTTGCGTGTCATATACACATTATTAAATAATATCAGTTTCAAATTAAACAGACAGCAGCAATTAAAAATTAATTATATTAACATAAATAACCATTTTAAATATAATTTTAAGAAGCTATGCATTTTGTTAACAACAGCTAGTATTTATCAAACTTACTATATACAGGTGTATAAAAATGACTAGAGAAGTCTTATTCTTCCTCTGGTTATTCCATGTGTTTTGTCTTATTGGTTGTACAAGTTCTCTACAGCTGGGAGCCATTTGTGTTCTCTGCTCTATAAAGGAAAGAACTGGGACTGGCCATAGAAATTTATTCTTGAACTTAGGTCTGCCACAAATTAACTGAAAGGGCTTGGACATCTTATTGGGGTTTGACCTGATAAATTGTAAAGTTTCCTAGCAATGAGATCTGGATTTTCTGTTGCTTCCTCTCTAACTCAGTTTCCGAATTGGATACTTTTAGGACTGAACTGTCTGTTCAGACTGTAAATGTTATCATGAAGAACTCTGTTCTTTCACCATAATTCCCCAGACTTCTGTAAACTCCCTTTAGAAAGACACTGGTGTATAGATACGAATAAGAGAAAGTGTTCTCTTAGAACACACAGTCAATCAAACTTTTGAACCTAGTGCACTCAGAAAAATGATCTATTTAATAGTTATAAACTACGAGGTGTGGGGGGAGGGGAGGATGCCGGTAAGACATAGTTTAATTAGTACAGTTGATTAAATGGACAAAAAATTAACAAACATTTCTTCACATCCCTTGCTGGTGTAAGTCAATCCTCTAAGGTCTTTTAACATCATTGCATTCTGGGGTAGAAAGAATCAATGAGATGATTCTACCTTAGGGGTAATCAAAAACATGAAACTCTCCTATGAGGTTTAAGTCTTACCTTCAGCTTGACTCTCCCAAGATAGAACATCCTCCCACCAATCTCTGATACAGAAGCTCACTTCTTTCCTAAGACTCTTTGATTCTTTCTCAGAATAAATTCTTTTGGAATGAAAAGAGAAAGAGAAGGAAAAAAATCAGTTATAAACACAAACATGACAACAAACCAAGGCAAAGATAGAAATGCATACACAAAGACATAAAAAGTTGGAATAAATTGCTGCTAAGGCACTATTCAAATATAAGGTTTTATAAAATACATAACCTCATAGTTGTAACCATGTTGGCTGACCAGCTGCTACATTAATTATCAATTAAGACATTTGATTAAAAGCTCACTAAAGTGGAAAACGATGGTAATAGCCCTTATAAGAACTGAGCTTAAGATGCGCTTAAATATTTCCACAACAAGCCACACATTCAGTAGTAAGGCACTCATTCAAAAGCATATGATCTTGTGTCTAACAGGTTTTTAAAGACTATTTTCCACATATCTTGAGTAGAAGAAATGAGAACACTATTATCAACAGCAACAAAATGAGCAGACTGCTGAATGCCACAAAAGATGGTTTGTTTTGTCTTCAAAAAACAATCGAGGGCAAAAGAAAGGGCACTTGAAAAATGACATGCATATTTTTAGCAGAAGTGATGACCACTCATATGATTTAACAGAAAATATGTCACATCTACATAATAGCTTCATATTTGCTATTGTGCTAATTGAACTATGTACTTTTGATGCATTCCCTATTCATCTTAAAGTGTGGGTAACAAATGATGGAAGTCAACAGTCACGGCAATTGGACACACAGGATATCTTTATTCTATGACTCTGAGTCAGTCTTCTCAGTGGATTACTAAACACATTCCAGAAATCTCATAAGTTACTACTGGTTTAAAAATGGATATAATTAAATATGAGTAAACCTACCGCAGAGCTTGATGTAATCCTTAGGCTAATTAACACAAACTATTTACAACAGACTTTTATTCCACTTTTTTAAAGATTGCTTATATGTTACTACAAGTTCATAGACCTTCCCATCACAAAAGTGACCACCTCCCCAACATATTCATACAAAGAGAGGAGATACCTGCATTGTAACCAGTCTAGGTGAGGTAGATCCAGTAACTATGGTTGTAAACTTTAACCAGAGTCAACCTAAGATCTGGGAATCTTTAATGAATTTCATTATTTTGAAGGTTTACCAGTAGATACCTCCGGGTTTAGAAGTACTGTGATTTAGAGCAATAACTTCCAATTCTTAAGATCTGATTGCCTCAACTAGGTTGTTTTTTAAAAATTGCGGTATTACCAGCTGTTCTCCATGGTGAGGGAAGAGATAATTCATTCCCCAAATTGTTTTTCATTTCAGGTCTGACAGAGTGTTACTAAATTCTTTAAAATAAGGCTCCTTTTCTTGCTGTCTCCAAACTTGCTCTTAACTCAGACACTAACTTTCTGTATTAAGACTTTCCCCCCGCCATGCTATGTGAACTACATAGAAGACCTATGAAAGAATAGGACATTTCTGGATAATTTGTTCTATCTTTGCATTCATATTCAGTACCAGGTACCGTACTGAGTGCTTTCATCTTCTCTCTTCAATTCTCATGACAATGGCATGTGTATGAGTAATTTCGTCTCTTTTAGGTTGAAGAGACTGAGATTGAATAATTATATAAATTCCCATGGTTCACAAGGCAAAGCTCATATTCAATTATTCTCCTGTCTTTTAGTTCAATATTAGAAGAATGGTTATTAATTACTAAGTTTTAGTTTATACAGTATGTTCATCTTTGATATGTACATTCATAGTATGTTACATAGTTCAAAACCTAAATTTTTCCTCCTCTATTGAGAGAGATATGAGAGTGCTCTAGGTTTAGAAAAGAAGAGCAAATGGTCAGATCTAAGTTTGGTTCACTGAGCCAAAACAAGAAAAGTGTATGAATTTATGTGCTGGTATAAACAAATGTTGCACCAAGCACTGAGGAATTACTTGACCAAATGAGAGGTTGGTTACGGAATTCAGATATTGAGGTGACCTGCTTTAGTCATCCTATACTTCTAGAGGTGCCCGCCGATGTTTGGTATTTTTAATGCTTCTTACTTGTCCATTCTGATCTTTGAAAAATAACACAGAATTTTTTCCCATAGTTACACCTAGAGTTATGCCTGGTGTACTTCCATATTAGGGATTAAAATCAACTTTGATGATTTTTTTTTTCTTGGCATCAGAGATTCAGAAAACAAATTTCAGAAATCAGTTGTCAGTAAACCCAGGATCCAAATTCTGTCTTCGAGATACCTTAGGGTCATTATAATTTGAGCTGATAGTAGTTTAGGAGTGGTTGAGAATATTTCCCTTTTTCTTACCTGTCAAGATGCAGTTGATACATCACAGATCCCTAAGCTATGTAGGGAACTCTCCCCTTAATTCCATCCACTTCATTTCTAAGCATCTGTAATAGTCACAGCTGGGTTCAGTGAGAGTTCTGCTTGCTAGAAGTGTGAGATCATGCCCTAAGTAATTACAGTGAGCATGCAGTGAAAATATGTGGTGAATATAATGTCAGGAAATCATGCAAATTTTATTATCATCAGTGAAGTGGTGGCTGGTGGAGAACTTGTCAGTAGTTGCAACTTGAAGCCTCTAATTACCTTGATTTACTTGTAGTACCATTCATAACCTTGCTTCCGTGCTGTTCCTGACAGCACTTTTGCATTTTACAAGAAAGGAATAATGCCATGTAAATAATTTAAAAACAATAAATCATTTAGAGTGGCTTTAAACCAAAACCTAATGCAGTAGCTGGCTGAGTATTTGCTCCACTTGACAGGTAGCTGGCATGCAAGGATTCATCTGTGTCTAAGAGGTACTTACTTTTAAATTCAGAAATCCAAAACAGGCAGGCTGAAGAAAAATGAGACCTAAGCCTTCTCCATGCTGAATAGTCCATTTCACCTCACTGAGGCGAAATGGGAAACAGGGAAATTAAATTCTACATGGGATAATTCTACTTCAAACCCAGATTTGCTGAGTTATGCTAGGTAAATGACTAATTAAGGCTGATTCTAGAGCAGAGCTGGCTGAGTGTTGGGGGAATATACAAACATGCCGGAGGCACCACCCCCACCCACGCAAGAGCTGAGGGAGAGGCTGGAGAGGCTGGGAGCAGGATGAGAGAACAGGGCTAATATATTACCAGTTCAGGGAAGGCGACACTCATTTCTCTCTGGTCATTTCTAATCACACAAGACAAGGCAGATAATGAAAATGAAAAATCCTTTGAAAAACTCCTACTTAACAAAAAAAGGTAGGATGACTTCCTTTAGCCAGAGGGGGAACTGGGGCTGGCAGCTGCCTCCGGACAGTTGCGTTCCATGAGTGCCAAGCATGTTATTATCTCTTTTAATCCTCCCAACAATTCTCTGAGGTAGGCATGATTATTCCCTTTTATACATAAGGACAAAACCTGAGCTAGATTAAGTAATTTGCCTGAGATCACCAGCTAGGAAGTGACTATAAGGATTAAGTCTGAATCTGTCTGACTCAGGCAGCTAGCTCTCCCTGTCTATCCCCTGCTTTGCCCTCTCTTCCAACCCAATTTCTTTCTTAGCTCAATCTATAAATTCACCTACATCGGTGACATATTTTTAAGATAGTCCTGTGAACATTCAGAATGATGGCGTACCTGGGGTGAAAAGGGGTTCTAAAATCACCCAGTTGGGCTATGTCTGAAACATCCCCTCTTTACCTTCCAGAAAGGCTCTCCTAGTTTATTCTGCCTGAATACGCTCATGATAGGGCAGTAGGCACACAGGCAGCGTGTCTGACACAGGTAACAGCTCCATTTCTTCTTCAACATTGCTCCTACCCCCTAGGGTTCTTCTTCCCAAGTTCCCAGGCACCTTATTTCCCTTGGTATGTCTTTCTCTTTCAGGGGAAACCTTGCCAGGTCTGTTAAAACCCCAAAGTGTTTATTTCTTTCTTCCAAAATACCAACATTCACATATGTATGTCCCTGGAGCAGTGGTTCTCCAACTTTCGTCCACATAAAAATCACCTGAAAGGCTTGTGAAAACACAGATTGCTGTCTTGTGAATTAAAAATTCACAATGTAATGCTTTGGTTCATAGTAGGCAGTCAGTGAATGTTAGTTCATTTTTTAATTGTAAATTTTTAATGATCCATGTATTTTCTTTTTTCTTTTTTTTTTTCCTTTTTTTGAGACAGAGTCTCGCTCTGTCACCCAGGCTGCAGTGCAGTGCCATAATCCTGACTCATTGCAGCCTCCGCCTCCTAGGTTCAATCATTTCTCCTGCCTTAGCCTCCCGAGTAGTTGGGACTACAGGCACATGCCACCATGCCTGGACAATTTTTGTGTTTTTAGTAGGGACAGAGTTTCACCATTTTGGTCAGGCTGGTCTTGAACTCCTGGCCTCAAGTGATTTGTCTGCCTTGGCCTCCCAAAGTGCTGGGATTACAGGCGTGAGTCACCGCCCCGGCCTGATTCACATATTTTCTTGATTTGAGTTTATGCTGGCACTCCCCAGACTTTAGGTTTCAGTTTTCATTTATCAGCAGGAGTTTCCTTGGATTAATGAATTTAGAAGGAGGAAAATTAGGGGAATATTTTATCCGTTTATTTATACTGTGTGAAGAGGCAAAATGTAACATACTTGCTACCCATGTCTACGTGGCATGGACAGGAGACATTGTAGTGTCACCACAGTGGTGCTACATTTATATCTTTAGAAGAGTACTCCTTTCAAACATTATTTGAAATGTTCTGAGGAAAAGAGGGTTATTCTGTAAGAACTAAAAGCAAATGGCAGAGTCTTGCTGGCAAAATCTGCTAGGAGGTTACTCATGCTATTGAGAGGTCAGTACATTTGCTAGCCGTGAGTCACTGATGAGAAAGGAAGTAGTCAGGGACTTGGTAGAGTGAGTTATCAAAGAATTTTGCCTTCCACAGAAAAAAATCATTATAGAGGAAGGAATCCAGTAGGGTTTTATCAACTGCTAAGGGTTCTCAAAGTGTGACCCCAGGACCAGTAGCAACAGCATTACCTGGGGTCTTTGAAATGCAAATTCTCTAGTCTCACCCCAGATCTTCTGAACTTCGGGCATGGGGCCCAGAAATCCGTTTCAGCAATTTCTCCAGTTGATTCTGATGAGCAGGAAAGTTTGAGAACACTTTTTGTTCTCTAACAAACTTTCTAATCTTTTTGTTACTTTCTAATCTTTTTGTTACTTTATTTAGAAAACTGAGAGTTTTCTAAATAAAGTAACAAAAAGATTAGAAAGTGCATTGACCTAACATTTGAGCTGTGAGTCTGGTCTACCATCTCTGGCAGAGTCTTTCATAAGGACAATTAAAACGAGCAGATGCTCAAGAAGAAAGGTCCCGTAGCTCTCCTCTGGAGTGTGGGGATTCTCAGCCCTGATTAGACGTTAAAATCACTTGGGGGCACTTAAAAAGAAATATTATTCTGTTTTTTACAATAATAGTAATAACAATAAAATACTGTTCCAGGCTACCTGCTGGCAATTCTTAGTCCATTGTTGTAAGGTGGTGCCCCTTGTTTCCGTATTTTTGAATTCTTCAGCTAACTCCAATGTGAAGGTCTGAGTTGTGAGTTACTGTGCTAGAGACTTGAGGCTGTGAACATGGCAAAACTTAATACTGTGAGAGAAAGTTAATAATATTTCCTTAAAGCACGATTTAATTAAATACTGGATAATAAACACCTACCATTTAGCTGAGTTATTAAAGCTCATGTCCCAATGAGGAAACTCTACAGAATGCAAACCACTGTCATTGCTTCTAGTATGAACAGGCTGTTCCTAGTATGAGAGGCTGTTATGCAGCCTTTCCAGGGCTCCTGGGCATTAGAAATGTCTACCCTTAAATCAAGCCCACTACCCCCTTTGCGACTATTTTCTGAGGGGAAAATAAAAAAGTTCATGGAAAGAACTTTGGTTTCAGAGTGTGACAATCTGCACTGTGGCACCTGTCTTGCCATTAACAAGCCCCATAATGGCCAGACATGGTGGCTCGCACCCATCATCTCAGCACTTTGGGAGGCTGAGCAGGGAGGATTGCTTGAGCTAGGAATTTAAGACTAGCCTGGGCAACATGGCAAGACTCCATCTCTCTACAAAATAATAATAATAATAAATAATAAATAAATAAAAAAACACTGGGTATGGTGTTGCCCACCTGTAGTCCCAGCTATTCAGGAGGCTGAGGTGGGAGGATAACGTGAGCCCAGAAGGTTGAGGCTACAGTGAACCGTGTTTGTGCCACTGCACTACAGCCTACATGATGGAGTAAGACCTTGTCTCAAGAAAACCCAAAAAACAAACAAAAACAAACAAACAAACAAAAAAAAACTTCACAATAAGGCAAATAACATAAATATTCTGCACCTGTTCCTTTATCTGTCTTGCTCAATAAGTTTCCTCCCAGCTCAGAAATCACAGCTTTGCTTGTAGTTTCGCTTCATAGAAAGTGGCTATTTGTATATTTATGTATTATTAAGAGACCACATAGTCCATTGCATCATAGATCTCAATCCCCAAGTCTTATTCCTTTGGCTTTTTCATTTATTAAAGTTAAACTTTTGCTTTTTGGTAAATAAGACAGATGGTCTAAAGGAAATGTAGAAATTGCCAGAATTATGTTCATACTGGGAACTAAGAGACTCCATGTTATCTCACCCAACTGTAAAATCACAAAAGCCACCAGGAGCAACCCATTAAGTTACCTGTAAAATCAAGTTTTCATGAAAGAAAGGGAGTTGCCCATAGAAAGTAAGAAGCATCTCAGGCTGCATTTTTTTTTTTTTAATACACTACTGCTAGATGTGCTTCCGTTTGATTTTGTGATTCTTTCTTATTATGAAGCCAATTTATAAGCTAAGACTGAGAAGGGATTGGATGCAGCACATTCCTTTCCTCTCATAAATGATGGTCGAGGTAGTGTGTGATTCTGAAAGGTACCATATGAAGTGTATCACGCAATTATTATGCTCCATCCATCATGACTGGTTTCAGCTGCTGGGTTTGGCAACCATGCAAGGAACAGATTCTAAATGGAGTACTTAGGAAGGAGACAGATACGGCCTCTGTCTTTATTACCTTGTACTTTATCCCTCTTACATTTAATGTAAATATTCCTTCTGCTGTACCATAAAAGGTATTTTTCTTTTATCATCTCTCTCTCTCCTTCATTTCTTTCTTCCTTCTCTCTTACTCTAATGTATCTTCAACTATTAAACCAGAAAATGTCATTTGAAAGTTTCATGTAAACTTTTATTTTTGTTGAGGCACAGGTAAATCAATAAATGCCAATTTTGATTTACATGATTTTGACAAACTTTGATTCACATGCGTATACACACACACACACACACACACACACACACACACACACATTTGCTGCCTCCTTAGCAAAACCATCTTCCGTTTAACCAAAACATGGCCTTGGAGGTAGTCCCATGACCCAGTGCTAGAGGATGAACCAAGAAGTATTGGACCAGCAGAAATAAGACTTCGTGAGATAAAGATGCACAATACCTTCTAATTAGCATGACAACCGATTGTTACCAGGGAATATGGAAATATATTTATTGGATTTCAAAAAAAATTCTTTATGTAATTAGCAAAGGAGACTTAAAATGGTATTTTAATTCAGTAAGTAAAGCCTACATTATAACTCTCTTATTTGGATCTCTGTAGTTTGTAAGGAATGATTTTTGGTTATAACACCCATTTAAAACAATATTTTGACACATACTGAATTTAGAAATAGCTTTCAATAGTTATACCACAAAGTGTTAGACCAAATCTTTTTAAAAAATAAAATGTTCAATCATATTGGTCTTAATAAAATGTTAATAACATTAGAGAGCAAAATTATTTCAACTATTGATAAGTAGCAATTATTTAAATATAGCAAATTGCATTTTACCCCATCTTTTTCAGTTTCCATCTCTTGTATTTATTACACACATGCTATATATAACATGTATTACATATATAATATATTGACATTTTATATTCATATGGAGGACCGCTTTTCTAGAGGACAATCTATGACAATTGGTAATGAAGAAAG